GCAAGGTGAGATAAATCAAATTGTAGCAATTTACCCTTGTTTCCATTATAATAGAATTTATTATTATTATTTTTAATCTTCCTCTAGTCAAGTTCTGATTATTAAGCCATCGAGGCTGGGTCAAATGGCTACTGTCTGCACATTTGGTTATTCTTTGCATCTCCCCTCACTTCTTATCAGGTAGATACTTCACTTCAGATCTAGCCCTCTGTGGCTATGTCCTAGTCCATGGGCTCATGTGTTCCCAGGTCTCAGCAAATTTTGGACCAAGCAGCCCTTCCTCTTCTCTTTCTCATCTATAGGTCAATGGGAGTCAATGGACTGTGGTTGAACTCAGCCCATTTCTTCATTGCTGCCTTTCCCCCCTCTTCTACTCATCAGTAGACCAATGTGGTTGCCAGCAAGCTTACATGCCTGTTAATATGTTCCCTTAGAGTTTCAGTCTAGAGGAGAGTTTGTCCTGAAGGAACTTGATGGCTTCCTGGCTAAAAGCTTGCTTATTCTTGTAGTAGCCAATCATGCTGAAATTTTTGTTTGGGGTTTTTCCTGATGATCTTTCTATGAAGATGTATCTTCTGTTGTTCTAGCTGTTCCAGGCTGGTCTGCTTGTCCTTTCTAGTGGGAATGTCCCAACTCATAAGATTCTGGATAGGACTCAGGATTCCACCTAAGGTCCTATACTCTGCAAAGTTTTGCAAGAGGCCTATTTCATTGGGCAAGTTCTAGAACCCCTTTTAAGTATTTCAGTTATAGGCTGAAGATGGGCTTACAAGTTTTCTCTAATCATGCTCCCTAAATTCCTTTCTATCCCACTCATGTCTATTTTACAATAGTAGGCAAGGGAAACCAATATTCATAAGACAGTCAAGCATTTTAGTATTCTTTCCCCTCTTCAAACTATGCCTAGACCCCTGTATCCCAGAGCCCTGTTGTCCCAACTATGAGCATGCATCACTATCTACCTCTGTCCCACTTTGGCCATGCAAATCTGTCTCAGTGTTCCCCTATGTATCTTGTTCATCCACCTCTTCCCCCTTATTGTATTGTTCTTCCCACACTGAAACTAAATCCCCCACTGCAACCCCATAGTTGTGGATACCTTATATTCCATTAATTATTCCCTCCATTTAAGACAGTCTATTTTCATCCTGTAGTCTACCTGACGTTCTCTGCCTCTGTGTTTAACTTCTTTCACATTGTAATTGTTTTGGTCATAGACTGTCCTACCAGATGCTCTTTCTTATAATTTTGTTCTGTTCTTGATGATTCCATTTGTCAATTGAGTTCAGGGTGATGCTGCCACATACATCATTCTCTGGGTGTTGTTTGTTCTTGTTAGTTATAATTCCACAGAACTTTAAGGATGTTTTTCATAGCAGGGTTGGCTTTGGCAAAATCTCTTAGATTCTGTTTTTCCTGGAATGTTTTGATTACACCATCGTATTTGATTGACAGCTTTGCTAGGTAGAGGATTCTTGTGTGGCAGGTTTTTTCTTTCAGGGTTTTATATATGTCTCCCCATTGCCTTCTTGCCTGCATCGTTTCTGTTGAGAGATTGGAGCTTAATTCAATTTGCTTGCCTTTGTATGTTACACTACTTTTTTCCCTAGCTGCTTTCAGGATTCTGTCCTTATCTTTGATTTTGGAAAGCTTATGATATGTCTTGGTGATTTTCTTTTAGGGTCTATCCTTCCTGGGGTTGAGCTTCATGAATGCTTATATTTTCACTGTTGAATATGTTAGGGATATTTTCTTTCAGCAGCTCTTCAACTATCTCTTCTGTGGATTTGGATTCTTTCTGTTCTGGAATCCTGATAATTCTTTAATGACTGAGTGTGTCCTCTAGGGCCTGAAACCTGTTTTTTCAGTATAGCCTCAGTCACACTCACTGCAAACATATGGCTTCTTCCCTTGTGTGTCTTTTGGTGTAAATATGGCTTTTACTGCCATTTAAACCATTAATCACACTATTAAAAAATGGCGTCTCCCCAGCATGTGTCCTCTGTCAGCAGAGCAAACCATTGGCCATGCTCCTAAACATATGAGGCTTCTTCCCTGACTGTATCCTCTAGTGGTAAAAGAGGCCTGACCTCAGGACAAAGCCCCAGGCACACTCACTACAAGCATATGGCTTTTACCCTGCCCGTGTCCTCTGGTGACAAGCCTGAGATCTCACTACATCCTCACAGACACTTAATGCAAACATAAGGCTTCTCCCAAAGAGTGACCTCTGGTGTATTATGATAGAGGATTTGTATATAAAGCCTCCCCCGCATGCACTGTAAACAAAAGGCTTCTCCCCTTAAATTTCTTTAAAATTTTGTGAATTGAGTGAAAGTAAACAGAAAAGATCATCTGCTTTATAATTAACAAATTGTACCCATTGTTTCATTTTAATGATTACAATCTCCTCCCTGCAACTGCAGCTATTTTATATCCTGTGAATTCCCTTTATATCTTATATCATACAAATGAACAAAGCAGAAATAGTCAATGTTCACATATAAATCAAGAAATAGCTATTCATATAAATTTCCTAACAGTATATTTTGCAAACCGGTCTCCTGCGCGCAGGCACACAGATTTACTCAGGGCATAGGCTAGAGGCTGCAGATACTCTTGTCTCTCCATGCCATTGTCTATGCCATCAGCTCTGCCCTTGTCTCTGCTATTGCCATTTTGTTTTCCTTGGTAGGGTACTAATGCACCAGTCATGCTCTTCATTCTTGATGGTCCTGGGAGTTTGCATTCCTGAAATGAAAGATTCACTACTTTCCCTTTTAGTTACAAATCTTCTACAATTAAAATTGTAACAATTACAATTAATCCTGCTAAAAAGTATCCATCATTGAATCATAAAATCCAATCAGCATCACTTCCTGTCCCTTCCATTTTCACCAGATCCATCTGGAGAGGAGGAAAATTCTTCAGTGGAGATTCCACTGTTTTAGAACCATCTTGTTCTAAAAGTAAGCACTCTCATGAAAGCTTGTAATACAGTCACTTTGTGCCTACATAGACCATTTTTGATCTCTAATGTCCAGACTGCCCGTCCCTATCAACCCAGTACACTGAGGAAACAAGCTTGTTCCTTGATATGAAGAATCCTGCCATTCAGGTTGGAATTTTGGACAAATGCATCCATAAGCAAAGGTCCAGTTTCATCAAATGATAGCAATTTATACTTGGTCACAGTATCAAGCATTTTTGTCTTCATCTGGTTGAGTTCTGGTCAGCTAGCCATCCAAGATAGATCAAATGGGTACAGGCTGAAAGTTTGTAAGTTCATACACACCTCCCTGGTCTTCAGATCAGCTGGAGGCTTCACTCTCAGCTCCAGCCTGCAGTAGTAAGCTCAATGCCCATGGGTTCAGGAGAGCACACAGCTCCCTAAACTTCAGACCAGCCAGACCTTCCTCTACTCTCTCTCACCTTGAGGTCACCAGGCATCAATGGAATAGGGCCAAACTCAGCTCATGTCTTCATTCCTACACTTCCCTCAATTCCAATCACAAGCAGACTCAGGTGGTCACCAGTGAGGATACCAGATAGCTCCCAGGATCCCTTTGAGTTTCAGTCTTAGAAGGGGATTTTCCCTGAAGGGCTGACCTTTCTTTTCCTGATGCCTCAAAAGCAAACGGCTTGCTTGACATGCAAACATCAAAACAATCTTTTCTTATTTCTTTTTTGCAGGCTTTTCTTTCAGTAAGTTCTCCCAGCCGTTCTTGCTTGGTCTGCATTTCTTTTCAAGTGGGAATGTTCCCAATCAGAAGGTTCAGGGTGGGAATCAGGATTCCACCTAAGGCCCCATACTCTATAATACTTAACAAGGAAAAAACAAAACAAAACAAAACAAAACAAAACACTTAACAAGAAGCCTGTTTCCCTGGGCAAATTCTACTTCCCCTTTTAGGAAATCCAATCCAATCAGTCATAGACTGAAGACAGGCTTACAAGCTTTCTGTAATCTGAATGTGTCTTCTGGGGATAGAGCAAGCCTGAAGTCTGAGCATACCCTTGCCCATATACATTACAAACGTATGATTTCTCCCCTGAGTGTGTCCTCTGGTGTGGGAGAAGGTTCCTTCTCCAGTTAAAGCTTCAGCCACAATCCTTGGACACATGAAGCTTCTCTCCTGAATGTGTCCACTGGTGACTGACTTGTGGGCAAAGCCTTGGCCTCACTCACTGCAAATATATGGCTTCTGCCCTGAGTGTGTCCTCTGGTGAGTCTCTTGTGACTCAAAGCAATTTAATTTTTCCTTGAACTCTTTCAAGTCCCTTTATAAATTAGGTTCACCTCATACTTGAAGGTAAGCCCAGGAAAGACAAGGCTTTTGAAGTATGACATTTCCTAAAATGTTTTCAGTGTCTAGAGTATCATCTGGTCCACAGCAAAAACCAAACAAGTAAACTCGTGAAAATAAATTCTATTTCAATCCAGGGCCAACCAGTGTGTTCCAGAATACAATGGCTCCTCAGGGTTGATTTATTTTCTTTTGTTTTGTAACTTGCTGTGTTTTACTTGCTGGATAGACTGATAAACCAATGTGTACACAAAGTCACCATCACTTTGCACAATGAGAGGAGTTCACTGGTGATCATGAAGAACCTGCAACTTAAGAAGTTCATCTCATTCTTTTCAGAAAGCAAGATCTTTTGGACATGGCTCTGTAACGAGCTGTACAAGAAAATCTGTCATCAGGATCAGTGATGCAGAAAATACACCCTGACTCTCAAATATGTGTGGTATCGTCCACTTGTATTCTCCAATTTACCACATAATGTAACATTCCTGAAAATTAGTTGTTTTTGCTAAGTGCCATCAAGTCGCTTATGACTCCTAGCGACCCTGTATAGTTTCCAAGGAGTGACAGGTGAGTTTGAACCATCGATCTTGCAGTTCGCATCCACCTTGACTTAGAAGTGGCAATGTGACTATCTATAAATTTTTTATTTTGAGATTACTAGCAGAGTATCATCTTCCTGCAAATAAGATTGACCATTAGACAAGCTTGATGATGCTCCATGCTGGTACCAAGGTATCTATTTTTACTATACTCTCTATTTCTGAATTTTTAAAACCTTCAATAGCCCAGAAAGAGTAACACATTGACCTATTCTCAATAAATGAATCAGCATTTCAGAATAATAAAAGAATACCACCTCAACAGTATTTTGGGCTTCCTGTTCTTTTCTTGGTAGCAGTTAGGAAAAAACCTACAGGAAGTAGGAGAAAGGGTGAGGTAGCACACCTCCCACAAGGCTCTTACAGAGGAGGACTCCTGATCAGGGGAAGGAAGGGAGTAGCTACTTTATTCAGCATTCTCTCCTTGCCCAATAATTCTCACCTGTGGCCTTATCACTTTCATTCCACTTCTACCTGCTCTCCCTATCACCCTTGTATTTTTTTTTAGTAGAAAAAGCATTTTATTTATATGGAAAATGCTTCATTAAGATCCGTAATAGGTATCAATATAATATTGCCTACACAGGAAAAAAAATTCAAATGTGAATGGCAACAAATAAAAGTTACACATCTTCCTACTTAGCAGTGCAATTAATTCAAATTGCAATAAAGTTACATCCAGTATAACAAAATTGAAACAAGTGTTTCTCCATAATCAGTATATTGAGAATTACAGTGTAAAGATCATTTCAGGTTTTAAGAAATCATCCATCAATCTACAGAATATCCTAAAACAAAGGAGACAAACAGTTAATTCACTTAATTATTAACTGCTGAATTTCTTTAATACTATTCACAGGAAAAAAAAGTAATGAGTGGACACACATGGTAAATAGAATACATTTTGTTTATACAGTAAAAAAATACCAGTGAGCTCACAAAGAATGAAATCTGAAGACAGATTTATAAAACTGACAACATCTTAGACAACACATACAGCATTTTTCACGTAAAAACACCTAGTTTCATAAAAAAATCATTTGGTTGCTTTTCAGCTGCAGATGTCCAAGTATCTTAAAATCCACAATAAATGTCCTTCTCAATGCAGACAAAAATGAAACCTGCTCTTCTCAGTCTTGTGGACCTTTTTGGAAGTTTGTTTTGTCTTGCTTCAGAAACACATTTAAAATGGATAAAAATCAAAGGGTTTCATGGTACACTGAAATAGTAAACTGTGCTCAATTTACTGCTAAAAATTAGGGGGGGTGGGAACCCAGATTTTATAGTACTGTGGTATATACGAAAAATAATTGTCAGAATACTGCTGGACAGAAGGCAGGAGAACCAGTGGTAGTTCTGTAGAAAAAAACCCCAAAGATTTCTGTTAGAGCAGCCATGACTGGGGCAACTTGGACTGTCTCCTGTCTCCCATGGCAGATAGCAACTTTTTGTTGAAGAAACTAAGTGGTACAGTTAAAAGATTAACAGTTAGCTGAAGCATAGGATAGTCTCAAGATAGGGCCATAGGTAAATGCTGCCCTCTTGATTTTCAATGGTTGACTATTCCATTGCTGACAGAAGACAGAAAAAGTGGGAGGTTTCTGGCTTTAGTTCTGGAAAAAATTAACACCAAAACCAAAAACTATTTCAGTTAGAGCAGAAAAGATTGGGGGCAACTGTGGTCTAGAAATGACTCCATGGCACTTAAGGAGATTAAAAACACTGGAGACTTGATGCGCCACAGTAGGACCTGTACTGGAATGTCAGCTGCAAGTTTACTGGTTCAAACATACCAGTCTCTCCTTGGAAACACTATACAGGTTTGACAAAGAGTCAGAGGAGACTCAGTGGCACTTAACACCAATAACTGCTAAATATCATGAGCATTTCTTGATATATTTGTTTGTCCCCAGGATGTGTTCTTTTTTTGTTTTTAAGGTTTTTATTGTGGATTGAGTGAAAGTTTACAGGGCGTATCATCAGTTTTACATTCAACAAATCATATAGCTTGTTTCATTATACTGATTATAATTCCCTCCATGTACCTATCAGTTAACAGTATTTCTCT